TATACATCACAGAAAACCTCTTCTCTCCCAAGTGAAAAGCAGCTCCATATTGATTGATCAGTTTGAATGTTTTCCTTGAAATAATGCCAGGGACGCTTGCATATTTTTGTTTCATTTATGTCGAAAGATTCGTCTCTGCTCCCTAAATTGTCTTCTCAAATTACTTCAATACTGCACAAGATATTAAACACTCTATAAAGCATTCTGGGCACTCTTGCAGAAAAGACTCAATCAGAGTAAGAAACAACATAACATTTATCACAGAGCTCTGTTATTTGAATACAGACTTCATTTAGAGTTACACATTGAGAACTTTAATTTATCTTTTATATGACATGCATTTATTTATAACTCTGGATTTACGCAGCTCATGCATTTGTACAGTTTTTTCATTTCTGCTAATAGCTTTTTCACAAACCATCCTGCAGTTGGTGCAGTTGCCCAGGCTTGGTGGAACATTCAGATTTTGGGAGAGGACAGAGATTCCCTAATCAGTGTCAATGGACTTGCCATACAGTAGAGGCTTGTGAAGTGCAATAGCCACAATATTCCTACCTTTGATATTGCTAGTATTCATTTCCACAGGCGGCTTTTCTGCTCTGTGTCACCCATTTATTTTGTGCAGTTTATACAGCTTGTGTTTCCCAAGTCTTTGCCCAGTTTGGTCCCTGATGTATTGTCCCATTTCATTCCTTGTATTTCTATGTTACTCAGACCTTTAAACCACCTAACTTTTTTTTTCACCCCAATAAAAATAGCCTCTTTCCATTCCATTCCTCTGCCCACCTTTTTTTTTTTTTTTTTAATTTTAGCAAATAACATAAAAATACTCAATGTTAAAATGAATTTTCAAATAGTGACAAATGGCACAACTTCAGATACAATGTACGTTGTTCATTGAAGAAAATCAAGAGAAATGAATTTTTATATGGAGATTCAGTGTCTACTTCAGTATTTTGATACTACTGGACAGTCCAAACCACAGAATTCCAGGAAATACTTTTAAGAGATGTTGAATCAAACATATTGTAAGCTGGTGTAAAAGGCAATGAGAAATCAGTAAGTAGCTCTCAATGCTTCCTTGTCTTTCAGACTATTTAGTGTAACATTGACATAAAAAGTAATTACACTGCATCTTGGTAATGGATCGGTCATCTATTTTGATGTATCTGGATTCATTTTGTTTCATATGATAGGAGGACTAGGGATAAGCATAATATCTCTAATGTAAAAATCAGTGGTTTCCACTATGAAAAATAAAATGTATCATTTTTCTTTATTTATTTAAGCAGAGAGAGAGAGTAACCTTTGAGGATAGAAAGGAATGGATTTTTTTTTTTAAGATCTATTTAATACTTGATTTAAGACACCAGGGAGTGGATGGAAAAAGCTCCAAACCACAGCACTAATGATCAGAGAATAAATGAGAAAAAAATAGCTGTATGGTAAAAAATATGCAATTCTGATGTTGAAATAGAGAAAGAATGAGGAATGAGGAATCCCTAGCTTTTCCCCCACACTCAGACAAGCTGTAATAGTTGAGATCAGGCACAAAAACATTGAGAAAACACCATCTTGAACTCAAAGGCTAGCTTAAAAAATAAATAAAGTAGCAGTGAACAGCAAGAAGTGGTGAAATAGTTCTCATTTGTAGAAGAAGTATTCAATACCAGATATTTAATAAAACATAAACAATTTCTTAAGTGTACATTAAAGAATCTTTAGTGTATTTCCTAAATAATGTCTTACTGTAGTTTCTGTAAAGTAATTTTGTATTTATTTATAAACAGAAATATAGAGGTTTATCTCATCAGGAGGATGTTACAATCATGGCATGATTTTTTTGCTTATGCATCAGAGTTAAAAGACTTTGCTGCATGTTCTGCTTAGAAGACTCACTCTCTGCGTGACTTTGGGTAGAGCATTTCGCTTTTCTGTATGCATCACCTTAAATAAAAAAAAATCAATAAATAACTTAGAGTGTACTGAAGAACCAGTAAATAATTACTAAATTAAAAATGATATTTTAAATGCAAAATAGTTGAGATGCCAGTATAAAAAGATGAAAAAAACCTCCTAGCTGGCCAGCTCATACTTCTGATGACCGAAATCTTTCTGCAGTGTCTGGTTTTTGTGTTTTAGGAAGTCTGTCTCTTCTCGTCCCCTAGAAGCAATGAATATATTTCCTGCCTTGGGAACTCATGGCAAAGCAACTTTCAAGCTAGTCAATGCCTGGTCACATTTAATGTGCTGAATTAACTTATGGTTGTAAACTGACAGGTGGTTTTCAGCAGTTCATGAGAGGATTTAGTTGGTGCGTGCAAAATGCAGCCTACAGGTCAATGATACTTGGATATGCAGCAATTAATAACCAACAGCCAATACTGTTACCCTTGTTTATGTCATTATTTTTTTTTCCAATTGATTTCTGATGAAATTGATTAAAATGCTTCCAGGTTGAAGACATATTTGCTGTAAAGTAAAGGAATAATAAAATTGGCCTCATACAATGAGACAGATGTTTTGATCCTTGTCAGGAAACAGTAGCAGAAGAAATGCATAATTACTGGGTGGTCAACCCCACTCACCAAAACCCAACTTACAGTTTTTGAATGTGTTTCTAGATTTTCTTATTTTTGTCACTTTGTAGAAATTCACATAATAGGTGGCTTGTTTCTGTTCCCACTGAAGTCAATAGCAAAATTGCCAGTGACTGATGGAAAAAGCCTATAAAAAATGTTTCAAAAACATTGTTTTCATTTAGGTAAATTCAATTTCTTAGCCAAAATATTAGATTTCAAATAGTTAGCCTCAATCAGAGCTACAGAGAGACTGGTGTCTCTCTATGTTGGTTTCACTAGATTTATTCCTACTAACGTGCTCTAAAAAGATCTAATGCCCAAATTTTAAGCCAAAAATTGAAGATAGACTCTCAGCAATATAGAAGAAAATCCTAATTCAACGTGTAAGAACAATAAAGAGCTCAATGCTAGCTCTTGCTAATTTGCACTATGTATTTTCTTTGTTGTGCTTACAGGGCTTCCTGAGAGCCTTCAAAACACACTTGAAGTGCCAGATCACTGTCCTTCTGTGCCATTACTAAATATAAATTTTTCCACATGAGTCAACTGAGTGAAGATCAAATGTTTTAAAAAGGGTTTGGTTTTCATTTGCCTAAAGGCTATTGTGCTAAAAAGAATTCAGTGACCTCATAGCTGAAAGTGACTGCAGATTTGTTATTAAATAACTCAGCTGTGCTGCACAGCTTTGTGAACTGTGATTATAATATTTTTGTTCTAATTTTTGTAATTTCATTTTTTATATACATGCAGATTTCACAGACCTTAAGATATCCCTGTTGGTACACCCCTCTGACCAGAATTTCTCGGATGCATTTGTAGGATATGAAAATGCTGTTAAACTGGAACAGCAGTCCCTAACATGCTAGGACAGAAGGAAAAGCCTTTCTTTGGATGCAGCTTCATTATGTTTTCTTTCTGAAGTTTTGAAACAAATGTGCCGTGCAGCTGTTGGAACAGCCATGTCCTCCCAGTCATGTCACTAGATGCTGTGTGAACTCGGTTAATATTATGTGGGATCTGTAATTTTATGGGAAGCTCCTTGATGGAGATAGAAGCTCATTCATAAGATATGGATGAGATTCATGCTTGCAGAAGTACTGATAACTAATAGAGTGAAGTCATTCCACTTTCCTGTAGTAAAGCAAGCAGAAAAGGTGTCTGTTACTTATGAGTCATCACAGATCTGGGATGCAGCATGCGTGTTTCTTAGGGTGCAGTATTCAGAAGCTGGTGGCTGTAAGGCATAATGAAATTAATTATTTAGTTGCCTCTCTGTGAGTTTCTGGGTTCAGGATGATATTCTTGCATGGATATCTGTTGTGACTGGAGAAGCTAGAGCTCTGCCTCCAATATGTCATAATTTCTTGAGCCTTGTAGTCATGTCTGAGTGTTAATGTATTTTTGTCCTGATTTCATTTAACATGGTGCACCATCTACATCTAGCAGTGCTGACCCGTGATGTGCTGTCATCACAGGGAATGTGGAAGGGCACTATTTCAAAATTAGACAGAGGGCAGTGGAGAAGATGTGTTGTCTGCCTGAAGCTAGTATCTCATTCAGGGAACAATTTTATCCAAGGTTAATGGAAGATCAGACACAGTATCATTCAGCTGAAGCAAGATCATAGTGATCTGTTAAACGTGGAGAAGTGTAACTCCATTCCAGAATTGTCATGATGTACTTGCAGGATTTTGATATGGCTTGACAGATAAGTGTTTGACTATATATTGACACAGGTATCTTCCGTGCTGCTTAAAGTATCTATTTTTCAGTTCTTGTGTGGAAATTAAGCTTTTGGGTGGAGAGAAGTAAGAGAAAACATCTACTCTTCGTAAAGACCTAATGTACTAGCGGTGGCTGAGTAAACAGTGAAGGGAATGCCCTCTGCAGCTGGGGAGGGTTTAGCCCTGGCCAGCAGCCAAATGCCCACCCACTCACTCCCCCCTGCCTCAGTAAAGCCTTTGATATTGCAAGTGAGGCCAATATCTTTGAGAGGGGGATCTGCTTTTAAGAAATGGTTTGCAGAGTCCTTAATCTTTAATAGGTACTGATTATAAAGGGGTGTTCAGGGGTATCTGTGCAGTATGGGAAGTCCTGAAGAGATACTTGATAATGTTACAGTATTATGCAGGATGGGATAATGCCCCTTCTCAAGAATTTGTAGTCTTTGCCTGAGTATTTTTGTAAATTACTGAAGCCTTTTCTTGTTTTTTTGTTGGTTTGTTTTTTTTTTTTTTTTTTTTAAATATAATACCACTGTTGTCTTCTGTGAGGAGGCAGAACAATGCATTTGTGTTTGGGAAGGGGAGTAAGAGACTGGGAGACCTTTGGATTAAATAGTCAATAGATTTCTTTGCTGCAGAACTACTTTGGAACGAGGGTGTATTCATTCACTCTTTCACATTTTTCTTTGTTAAGGTGCAGTTCAGCTGAGACTGAATTCCTCTTTGGCTGTCCATAAACTGAAACAGAAGGATGCAGAAGACTATCCCTTGTCTTTTTGTAGATGAATGATAAGAGCACAAGATCATTAATACCAGTTTGTTGCAAAGATGAGTTCAGAGGAGAAGAGTATATCTCCAGCTCACAAAACATCCACTCCATCGCATAGAAGTGCGTCCTCATCATCATCATCTCAGAGAGACAGGAGGCAGGTAAGGAAAAGCTCTAAATGTTTGCACCATCTGGTGGGATGGTACTTTTATTCCTGTAATGTGGCCTTTAGTTCTCACTAGCTCTTGATTTGCTTGCTTATAACACTGGATGATATCACCATAGCCAAGAACTGTTGATTTTTTTAGTTGATTTTTTTCTGTTTTCTGAAGTGGCTTGGAAAAGATTCAGAAGCAACATGGGCACTGTGTGCAGCACTGGAGCAAGAAGTATATAATCACATGGACAAGTAGGAAGACATGCTCTGAAGTCTTTTGCGAAGTGGGTTTTTTGATGGCATAAACCTATGGTTGCTTAAAATTGTTTTGTGTCCTCTGTGGATATCTCTTCTGGTAAATATAATTACAGAGATGCATTATAGTTTTAGGAGGTTATAATTCATTTTAAATATAATACTGTTCATATTTTTGTAAAACCTAACATTTTAAATACTGTGTTACTACATAGAGTACTAGTCCAGTTATGTTGGTCTTCAGTTTTTAAGAGACCCCTGTCTGTGTGGATGTAATATGTCTTTTCTCCATGATCCCTTTGAGATGAAGACTTTATTATTTCCCCTCAAAACAACATGAGCATTTCTGTGGGTTTTTTGAGAGATGGGTGTAGTCTGGCCGCACCACCAGTGGGAGCTGCCTGCTCTGAAGTGTCCAAGCTACCCACTAGATTTCAGATGGGTTATTCCATGTATATTTACAAATGCAAAGATTTATACTGAAAATTTGGTTAGAACAGACCCATATTTTAAAACTTTGATCTATGAGAAAGTGGCAGGAAAAGGGCTAAAATAATCGTTAGCTGTGGTACATGTTTACTTGAATGCCTGTGGTTTAGGAATATTTTCACAACTACTTGTATGCCAGCTGGGACACAATTTTTCAGCTCTTGCTGGGGAAGTTTTTGCCCTTACCTGTGTGATGAATATTTTGAAAACTGAGAATTTTGATGGAAACTGTGACATTTACATCTTTGAATGAAAATAGTCTTGCCATAAGGTATGTTTAAAATGTTAAATCAGGAGAAGAATTCTAACGTGTGTTCAGTAACAGGCAGTAAATATGTCTGGAATTTTTAAAATAATTTCCATTGTTTGAGTAAATCCAAACATTATTTTCTCCCAGGTGGTAAGTATTTACCCTTTCATAGTGTACCGGATTCGGGATAGCTGTACTCAATTAATTAAGTCCTAGTTAGCATATTCTTTCCTAATTTTTCCTTGGTTCCATCTGGAGCAAGGATTTTGACATCTTTTGTTCGAAGCATCAGTGTATTTTATCTCCCACAGTTAAACCCTAAGAAGGTGAATGCAAGACTCATAGGAGCTGTTGGTCTCAGCTAAGAGCATATAATCTGAGTGTTCTTCATAATTAGGTAGTGGGATACAATCACGCAAGTGAGAATGGAAAAAAAGTACCTTTTGGGAATACATTTTACCATAAATCTAATGGCTACCCTATCTGTTACCATAGCAACAGTATAGAGCAAGGTATACCTGTCATCATAACGAAATGGATGCTTAATTTTAAGTCCATATTTGACCACGGAAATGTGAAGCATGATTTTAAAATAATGCTGTAAAGGTTGATGATGTGATGCATCCAGAATATCCAATAAAGTATGATGATGCTTAACAGTTATATTTAGGCATGTAAATGTGGACTGGAAAGGCTACTGCTAGGCATTCATTTTTTGCCTTCATGCTTTCAGCGTTAAAGGCAGACACATATCAGGAGAATGATTGGATGAACAATTTCTTCTGCAGAAAGACTCTGAACTAGAGCATGGAATCAGCATGAAGTGCAGTGGTGCTATATCCAGGAAAAGAAACATGCAAATGTTTCCTCTGTGCATGTAGACACAGTAAATCAACCAATATCACCCTACGAGCTACTATAACCACTGTATTTCTAGTTTCTTTCCTTGGTTGTGGTATTATTTGTATATTTTTGGTTTTCATAGACTTTCCCCCAAACACAATGACAGCTCAGGGGTAGGGGGTTTTGGGTCAGGAGCTGTTGGGTTTTACTTTGAAAAGGCTCGAAAATTCTGTCTTGCTGCCTCCTTTTACTCTTCAGGGCAGGTAGGAGAAAAGCACCCTTCCTGAATTGGAAACAGATATGAATGTGGAAAGTGATGTGATTGGACAAAGTGTCAATATAGCTTTCATTGTCAAATGTGAGGATAACACTTGATCTTTCTAGTTGGTTAATGACTGAAATCTTCTCATCATATAATTCTTGTCAAAGTCATACCAGTAATTATGGAACAGTTTCCCATTAAATTATGGTGCAGGAGGCTGAATGAGTGTGAACATGATTACGATATTTCAAGGAGAGTAGAAAATGTTGTGCTGTATATAATGCTGGCATTTAAATGTAGCTTTCTTATTTGTGCAATATATATCACCCAAGAGAATTAGCAGTCAGCAAAAGCTTTGGCATTGCCAATTTGCAGAGTCCATGATTAAGTTAACAGATAAATGAACAGACTAATGAAGCCAGCAATAACTAAAAAAACTGATTTCAGATTTTTGTCATTAATTTTCATTAAAATCATATTTGATTTGGACTGCTAGATAGAAGAAGGCCCAGAACCAACCTGTTTTGTTTAATCCCTGAGTAGAACAGGGTGGCAAGGCAGTTGTGTGTCCTTAATAAGGAATACTTCAGAAGGGAACAGCAGTAGTTTTTCTTACTGTGGAACTGTTGCAGAGTGTGAAACACACTTTCACTTCCACTGTCAGTAAGAGTCTTTATACACAGGTTAGCATAAAACCTGCAATTCTGATAGTCTTTTTTGTGGGCTATGCTGACAAGGTAGATTCTTGGTTTTCATCCCTTATGAAACTCTGAAGAGGTTAGCTGTATACTGCTGCATAACAAAATGTAGGAAAACTAGCAGCTTTTAGAAAGTGCAGCTGAATATGATAAAATCATATGTTGTATATTCAGTTGTATAGGTGTAAGTTCTTTATGAATATTACATATTTTATTTATTGACTAAGTATTCAAGTCATAAGGCAGATTGTAGTATTTTATATATATATAATCTCTGCAATGCATGGCTAGTAATATTATGCTGAGAAGGCAGAAAGAAGTGAATATATCAATAGGGTTAATAATGTGCACTTTGAAAAATTGGAGTGTGACCCCAGGCTATTAAACAGAGTGAGTGATACAGAAGGAGAGTAATAATATTGAAACTGTGAACAAAGGAGGGATTTTGACTTTTCTGACCACCATTTAAAGGGTAGCTAATACGTGATGGGAAGTGGATTTAGCAATGTCTTCTATTCTAAATGTAAGGATTTTTCTTCTAATACCTTAATTTTCTTTTTGTGATCTCTTTCTTTTTCTGTTTCCCTTTGTCAGTTTGCTTTTTCTACAAATCCTTCTTTTCCCACACAGCAATCAAAAAAAGAAGAAAAGCTTTTAGTCCTATTGCACTTATGTGGTCACCTTTCTAGGAGAGCTTTCATATTTCAAACAACTATTGTCTTTCAGCCATATGTAAAGTGTGAAAGATAGGGGCTTTGAAGGAAGAAGAAAAAATGATTTTCCAGAGCAGCAATCTGCTTTTCAGATTTTAACATGGCTTGTTGGTTTTTCGGTTCTGTTTTTTTGTTTGTTTATTTGTTTGTTTTGTTTTGATTTGTTTTTTTTTAGTCAGCATTGACTAATAAAAGAGATGCCAAAGGACTGAGTTTGGACTGAAGATGTTTATCTGGCCATGAAATTTAGAAGCAAAATGTGATTCCAAGGCTCTGGTCTTGTCTAAAGGTCTATGTTGGAAAATGCCTATTTAGCTTTTTACAACCACTGTATTTTAATTGTCAAAGCAGTCTCCTGAAAGCAGTATTTCCTAAGGTGATTATCACCATTTTGTAGATATAGAGGCTTTAATGATGATGGAAGGATCAAGTCATCTGTCCGCAGCAACCTTAACCAAACTTTAGTTTATAGAGTAACTGGAAGACTGTAAAAAAGATATTAGAGTAAGTGAATCTGAGGGTGAAATATATTAACCTGAAAAAAAAGGACCAATAATCATTATTTGGATATAGGGATGCTGTAGCAATCTAGGTCTTACAGTGCTGTCTACTGTATTAAGCACGTAGGAAAAGGCAGTCACTAGCTTAAAGGGCTGATTAAATGAGACAGATACATATTGGGAGCAGAAAAAGAAGGTGACTTTTGTGTTGTCTCATCAACTAATGATAAAGCATAATAGGAAATTATCATGGGTTCTATGTCAATTCTAGAGTTTAATGCTTTAGGCTGACGTTAAGAAGCGTAGAAGTAGAATTATAAAAGCTATTCTTGGCAAGAAGATCACCATCCAGTTTTTTGCAAGAGACAGAGCTACAATTTTTTCGCAGATGTGCTGCAGGGACCATCAGGTTCTGTGAAGCTGAGTTCACATGGGCAGTCTGCATGCCACAGCAAGTGGGTGGTGCAGAAGGAGTGGAGTGCTCAGCTTTGTACAAAGTAAAAGCTACTTGATTTGGAGAGTGAGAATTGCGGTCAGGAAATACATAGGTGAAAAAATTAGGTAGGAGACAGAGAACTAGGTAGGCCAAATGCTTTGTGAGGTTGTAGGATATGAAACTAAGAAGGAAGTTTTTAGGGAGAACAACAACTCTGAAAAAGTAAAGGCGGAGTAAGAGAGAAACCAAGCAAGGAAGAATGTGTGGCTTTGTTTTTTTCTTTTCTGACCAGGAGTATCTGGGAGAGCTGGTTGATGTGTAGAAGGGAAAAAAAATCTATGAGAAAACTTTTATTCTAACTACTTGATGTTTAAGGTTGTCTTTATGTGGTTGTTCTAAGGAATAGCAGGTTTACTTTTTATCTTTCCTGTAGGAAAAGCAGTCTAGTGTTTGAGACTGAAGCTATTTAATGCAAAATGCTGGGGCTTAAAATGAGAGACCTGCTGTTGCCATTGCTTTGGCTCACTTTGCTGTTACACCGTCCCTGGCAGCTTAGAG